GCCCCTACCTGCGGGCGCCCATGGGTGGGGGTTATGTGGGAAATATTTGTTAAAACTTTAAATAAAATTGTCAATGTCCTGTCTTAAAATTTGTGACAGTTTCGATTTCTTTCTCAATAAATAGCTGGTGATTTACTAAGACTAAAAGGCGAAAAGCGGGAAAGTAATGAAATATATGTCAGTAGCGAAATAAACACCATTGCAAACAGATGAATAATAGAGCAATTTGGTTCCATCCAGATTTATAAAATCACTAACACTGCCTCTCATTTTACTCATCACAAACCAGAGTCAACTTAGGTGGCATCTAAATTAATTAAACTAGAGCTGACCAACCATGGGCGCCCGCAGGAAAGTTTGTCGAGAAAAAGTCAATCTACTTGCATAGGAAGGGGGCTGTGGAGTATCTAAATCATCTAAATCATTTAGTATCTAAATCATCTTCATTACTAGATTTAAAAAAAAAAATGATCTACGAAAATGGCTTAAACTAAAAAAGAAATTAGGAAAGAAAAAAAATCTGCCCGCCCTAAGAGAAATTAACATAGCAACAAAAAAAAACAACTAAAAAGAATAAAACTATGAATCTATGAAATAACAATGAGAAAAAACAATTTAAAAAAATAATTCTCATACTATCATTGCTATGATTCCCGGCTCCGAAACCATTTAATCTGTACGGAGCCACTTCGGGTGCGAATAGTTATTTGCGATTAAAGGTACCTGGGTACCTATAGATGCAGCCTTCGCATAATGTGATATATTAAATTATGAATATAAAATACAAAGTTCATAGTTCACATCTCGGTAGTGTAGTGGTCAGTATCTCCGACCGTCACTCAGCAGACATAGGCTCGATTCCCCGTCGGGGAAGCCTCATTTTATAAATAAAAATTTTTTTAAAAATATTTAATGGTTATTTCGTAGTGTTATATTATAATAATATTCTTCATATAGCTTTCTTATTCTGTTCACATAGTTTTATTATTATTTTCATATATTTTTGCTACTTATGTTACAAGTTTCAATCTATTTTGTTAGAATGTTCATTCAAGTTTCGTTAAAAAACTGTAAACAACATGGACATGGACATGCAGATGAGCCGCATAAACCATGTTTAAGTTTAAGTCAGATACAGCTGTTCTAACTGTACATTGTGATTTACTTTTAGCTGTTTTGAGTGTTTAATTTTCTTTGTATAATTCCACTTATAGACTTTAACATCCATTTGTTTTTTTCTCTAATAAACAAATAATTATTAATAACTTACTTATTCAAATATTTTAGATCTCAGAGTTGTGTATTAATGTTTAGCTGAAAAAATATGTCACGTTTTATTTGTTTCATTTTATTTTCTAATAAGGATCATAATAAGTAGGGACACAAAATGCCGCTCCAGAAATAGTTGAAATAACACTTAGCGATGACAATGAAATGAACATACTGGTACCGTACTTAAAACATATCAATATCATTGACATCAACAATTTTAGCTCTTGTAAAAAAAATGTTGATAATTGAAACAAAAGCCATACTGCCACTGTTGTAACTATGGGTCTAAATACAAAAAAAAAAAAGCATACAAAAATTAATTGGAACCCTGCTGGTCGTAGGATGCATTGCGAGTCTTTGGGAAGTAAAGTTCCCTTGGGGCAATTGAAGCAGCGTTTACAAGTTTGAGTGTATGGCCAGCGCAATAACCAGCCAGCTTTACTTTTCCCCAGATAAGGCCAGAGCTGGGTAGACTTAGGGACACCCTCAAGGATCAGGAAAAAATACTAGCCTTAAACAGGATTAGATTCTGTTATTATCGATGTAGGGCCTGTATGCCCCTCCCCGTCTCTCACATGGCCGCCTGATGGAGACACCTCTCTGCATCATAACACTGTTGCCTGTTGCACGGCATGTTAACTATTTCTGACAGAACATTTCTGGACTACGTGATATATCATAGTGTTCAAAAAAAACTAAACGATCTCCTATCAAGCTTTGACATCATTTAAAGACATCTCTACAATGGGTGAAAGTGAGTCTACATGAAGAATACCGGTACCATTTTTATTACTGGTAGGCCTATAACATTTAATATGAAATACCAGGAAAATTAGCTATGTCTAGGAGTAGGAGGTTTGACTGGATCTATTAGTAACACTCTATAGGTCGAATATGTTGGCCCCTAACAGAGCAGATGTAGGCACAATTAATTGTCCTATATCCAATATATAGGCTATAGTTAGGCCTATTAAATTTTTTTAAATTTAACTTGTGCATACCGGTAGCTTCGGTTTTGAGATGTGTTTGTGCCATTCTCATTAACGATCGATCTATCCTACACTACTTAAAACTTCACCCCTACCCCGGCTTGGAATGTGATCTGAATTATTTCTAGAAATGTGCGTAATTATGGGAACATTTCTGTCTAACAATAACGCTCTGCATTATTCGCAGATTTTGGTCTGCCGATAACGCTCGGCGTTATTCGCAGATCTCGGTCTGCCGATAACGCTCAACGTTATTCACAGAGCTGTGATGTGGATAACGCTTTCCATCGAAGAAAAGCACACATTTTTATTAATTAAAAAAAAAAATGTTATAAAAATTAAAATTTAGTCTAGTAGTTTTTTTGTTTTTTTTTATTTATATTTTCTTACCCCCCCCCCCCTCCCCAGTCGCCTCTTGTTAAAATTATTTCACGAAAATTTCTTTTGATAGAATGAATGCGAACTTTTATGAAATTAGTCAATCAAGGGAGAGTATTCCAAATGTATTATTGTTTGCTCCTTCGGAACAATCATATTCATAATCGTAGTTTAGAGTCATTGTGTTTATTTTACATTGGAAATTCCGTGTTATATTTCTTCCTTCTTAATCGATTAGTTCATCGCATCGCCATAAGGGACACCAGTTTGTTAGCACAGTTTTTTTTAAAAAATAATGTTTGTATTAGTACAAGGGCCTATATTTTAAATTTAATATAGACTAGACTACTTTGATATTAATATTTAAATTTAGTAAATTTACAATAGAAACAGACCATGATTCCTATAAAAAATATTGGTGTGACAACATTATTGTTGCATCTTTTATTTTTCATTCTGACAATCGTTACTGTTCCATGTCAGCCTTTGCGAAATAAAATTGTAAGGAAAGACCGACATGTCGATGAAGTTTCAAGAAATATGAATGTGAAAAAAATGTCAAAGTCAAATGTTGAGGATATTCATCCATTGTTGTTAATCTCTTTTGATGGATTTAGATGGGATTATTTAAACAAAACTGATACTCCAAGCTTTGATGAAATCATAAATAATGGTGTTACAGCTACACAAGGTCTAAAAAATGCATTCGTCACTAAAACATTTCCTAACCATTACACCCTTGTTACTGGTTTGTGGGAAGAGAGTCATGGGATAGTGGCCAATAGCATGTATGATCCAGTTCTTAATCAAACATTTGAACCATCAAATGCATCTGCTGTTACCGATCCTGCTTGGTTTAATGTTGGTGCAGAGCCCATCTGGGTTACCAATCAACGTCAGAATAATAATGGGAAAAGTGGTGTATGCATGTGGGTTGGAGGTGGAGCACCAATTAATGGTATTCTTCCAACATATTATATACCTTATGATGGTTCCCAAAAAAATGAAACCAAGGTTGACATGATAGTTGACTGGTTCACAAGAGAAAATCCCATAAACTTGGGACTTCTTTACTTTGACCAGCCTGATGCTTATGGCCATCGCTATGGACCAGATTCACCTCAAGTTGCTAGTATGATTAGCGGGCTTGATGAGGTAGTTGGCTACCTCTTAAAGCAATTGAAGGACAAGAATGTGCTTGACAACATTAACCTTATCATAACTAGTGACCATGGGTTTACAAATACCCCTCATGATTTGCTGATTAATCTTGATGATTTTATTGATGCGTCAACCTACAAAATAACAGCATCATCCCCTATAGCAAATATATGGCCACATGAAGAAGGTAGAATAAATTTTTGTTATTCCTTATATTGAAAATGTATGCTTTATTTTATTTCATTGTGCATGATATGTCTTTCTTCAATACAGACACAGTTTATGGTAGATATGTCAATTTCAAAATTATTATGTTAAACACTTATAATTACTTGGTTAACTTAGTTTGAAATCTTTTGAAATAAATTTAGGCATAGTAATGTTTAAGTTAAATTAGCTCATTCTTACTGTTTAGTCTAAAATGTCTTTGAACATTTATTTTCATCAGTCTCAGATAATTAGTGCTAACTGTATGATGTTAAATATCCTTGGAAATGAAAATGATTCTTTGTTATTACTAGTAGATAATTAAGTGATCTTTGAGGTAGCTAAATAATTTTAGTGAAATATCCAAAACAGTTAACTATTCCCGTACAATCTCATCTCTGTAGAAGCAAATTTTTATAGGTGCACAGGATTTTTTGTTACAAAAAAAAAAATCAGAATTTAAAAAAAAAACTATTTCATTACTTTTTAAAATAAAAATTGTGTTACTTTAGACTTTAAACAAATATTATTATTATTATTATTATTTAGGCATTTTTGTATAGCGCTTACCTTACAGCTCTAAGCGCTTTACAATTATTAAAAATATGTAAACTATTTAAACTGCTATATAATGAACAAATAAATATTTCTTTAGTCTGTAGGCCATCATCTTTCAACATTCTTTTTTGCTTCAGACTAGTTTTAACTTTGCTAGAATTTGATAATGAACTAGGCTTTAAGACACTTCTCATTAATAATATGACAATGAAATAATTATGCATAAGAATTAACTCATTTTGATTGTGAATTTTATTTAAGTTTTTTTATTGAAGAATATTTTTTATTATTCTTTTTGTAAAGATTTGTACTTGTATCTCTTTCCAGACTCTTTCATTTCATCCATCTTTTGCTTTTCATCTTTATTATTGTGCTATTAAGATAGACATATTTAAATTCTTTAAATTGGTATCTTTCATTGAAGGAAAGCTTGAAGAAATCTACTCAAACTTAACAAAAGGAGCCCAAGAAAGTAGAAAGTTTCAAGTATATAAGAAGGAAGAAATACCAGAGTACTTTCATTACACTCACAACAGAAGAATATCACCCATTGTAGCTGTAGCAAATGACACATATTCTTTCACATCTAAAGATCAGCCATATCCTAAGGAAGAACGTAAGTGTTCAGTTTACAGGAATAAATTGTTAGAGCACCGCCACAGTTTCATTGATGTTCATGTATTTTCTTATGTGTTAGAATCCACAAAAATAATAGCTATGAATTTCATGAGTGTATATAAGATTTTTCACTAACCATCTCATTTTCTTTAATAGATTTTATTGTTTATCTCCCAGTTGGAAATCATGGTTATGACAACAGACTCCAAGACATGCACCCTTTCTTTGTTGCTATGGGTCCGTCCTTCAAAAAGAATTTCTCCATAGAAACATTCAATAACGTGGACCTTTATCCTCTGTTGTGTCATCTACTTAACCTGAAGCCAGCCCCCAATAATGGCAGTCTAGACATAGTTTCCCAACTTCTAGTTGACCAGACTGACACTCCTTCTACACTAACTCTTACCACATGTAAGTCAAGTAATGATGAAAAGCCATGAAATTTAGCTCGTGAAGTTTATTTGGTGTATTTAAAAATATTAGCATATACAATATACATAGTTAAAAACTTAAGTGATCGCATGGTTATTGCCGGCAATAATCACTTAAATTTTTAACTATTGTCTATTTCTTGTCATTTTTTCTTTTGTCCTGTCTGCTGAGGAAGGCTCTAAGCCAAAATTGTTCATATATTATTGTCCTGTCTTTTGCTCAAGTTTCCACATACCTTGTCCTACTATTCCTTGTATTTATTCATAGGGCAAGTGAAGTGTAGCCCTAATATCCACCCTCCTCCCAGTCCCAATTTCACCTTCCATTTTACTTTTTACATCATTAGATACCTTGTCCCAAATCTGTTACATCATTTATATTTTTCAAAAAGCATATGTTTTTATTACTTAAATCAGTGGTTTTAGTTCTACTTTTTTCATCCACTGCCCCCTTGAGGCCATAAACACAAGCCTGCCGCCCCCGTGTCTTAACCCGTTAAAAAAGTTGTTCAGAATAGTTTTTTTGTAAAATCCCATTAGGAAAATGATAACACCATAAATTATTCCACGTACACAAATTTTTTTAAACAGATATAATTATAAGTCAAGAATTTTATATACGGCACCTATTATTAATAACTAACGTCTTCCTAAAGCATTGGTTGAGCTCGGTTAAGTGATAGCAGTTTCTCAATGTCTGGTTGAATTTCACGTTACAGGACTTTCAACGGCCTCCTTCAGTTATCGGGAGCTTATTTATTTGCTGGGAGCAAAGTTGAACAACAATGCTTAAACCAAGTTTCACCAAATATGATGTTGGAAAGTTAACAAGAAGTGCACTTTTCATATTGTAGGATAACAATTTGAAATTTTTTTAGTAGCCAAACCTGTTGGTACGAGCTCCTGAACTTTGGCTTCAGATCTATATCATTTTAAGCTGAATTATCTCTCTTTCAACATTAACTTTCTCATTATCCGATAAAGGATTAATGTCTCATTCTGGAATTTCCATCAAAAGTAGAGCCTCAAACTGATAAGACAAAGATCTCACTAACTGTTGGTAAAATGAGTTTATTCACCGGTTGTGTGGGTCTTTCCAGTTTAACAATCAGTAATGAAATATTGTATGTTGGATGCAAAACATGTGAGCTCTGTTTAGAAGCTTGCAAAAGCATAGTTGTCAGTGTGGGTCTCTTTTGAAGTTTGACTGACAATATATTAAGTTCTTATAATTTGCCTTGTCAGGACGTGCCCACTTCAAAATTTCAATCAGCCTTGAGTGCTTCATTCTCTCATTTGAAAACCTTTTCACATTTAGTTTTTTTGGTCCTTGTAAAACCAGAAGATATTCCAAACTATATTATCTACATTTCTTTTTTGTTTCCCTGCTTCTGCCTTTTTTATTCTGAAAGTTATTTAATGTTAATTAAAAAATATCAAATTTAACTAAATGATTACCTGTTAATTTTGTAGGCCTATGCATCATTAACATCACTAATGGTTGCAAATTTATAAATAAAGAAACAGTTTTAAGTGGGGTGGTCAGACAATGACTGCTATAACCGCCCCAATTTACAACTTCTCCCTCACCAGATGCTATGAAATGATGATAAAATTATAACTATGCAATAACAAAAACTCTACTCTAAATTTTTTTTTCATTGCAATTCTAAATTAAACTTTTTAGACATGATCAATAGGAACATGCTTTAGTTGAAATCATTGTCTTAAAATAACAAGCGTATAACTATTTTGTTTTTAGTAAAAAGAAAAAAACGGCTTTCATTTAGATTTTATGATGGGAAGCACAAGTGAAATTTTTGTTAAACTAACCAGTTCTCCATAAAATTCAAATAAAAAACAATTGCAAAATTCACTATCAATATTTTATCCATTACATAACAGTTGTTTATTAGACATCTGGATCTAACATTACAATAGTATTCATGAGAACTATAAGATATTAGAAATTATACGAGTTAGTTGGTGACAAGTTATTGCCTTCTATAAGCTCGAAAAAATATAAAAATTTGTGAAACATGACAATTAATTTTTTTATGCCAGTGTAGACAAATGTTAATTAATTGTTTTTTTTTTCAGTCCCATGAAAATGTTTTTAAAAATCTGCCGGGGAATCATTTTGAGCTAATTTATCAGGGCTGTGTGTCATAACCCCCTGCATAGTATTCAAGTTTTGTTGTTGTTGTTGCACCTATTGTTGATAAGATCACAAGTTTTTCCCCCGTATGTCTGAGGGTATTTATTGCATCAAATAGTGCTTATCAACCTTTGTTTAAATGGTTCAAATCAAATAGTGCTTATTTATTCATTACATTAAAAAAAATAATTAAAGTTTGCGTTAAAAAATTCACCAGTTCCCCTGGGGTAACCCCCCTGAAACTACAAAACATCGTAAACCCCCCCCCCCAGCAGTCCCATTTTGAGAAAAATAAAAAAAAAAAATAAAGTTTTCGTTAAAAAATTCACCCGTTCCCCCGGGGTAACCCCCCCGAAACCAAAAAAAATTGTAAACCCCCCCCCCCCCCCAGCAGTCCCATTTTGAGAACCATTGACTTAAATGATTAATAGTAAATCAATTATGTTAATTTTCCGTAAGTAAATTTGAATATAATTTATCATGTTTACATTCATTTTGTTTTTCAGATGTCGTAAGCTTCATTATAATAGTCCTTGTAGCAGGTGTGTATATTATCACCGCACTTTACTACCAAAATATCTGGAAAAACATGCATCACCAGCAATACATGGCTGTTAAACCCAATGATGAAAGCCCATCAAAATCAGCAGTGACACGGGGGACTGCTTCCCAAGGCAGTGCAGCCATACATCAATCTAACACAGAAGACAGTGACACATCCCCACTTTTAATAGATCACAATGCTGTGGTTCCTTAAAGGATGTCGTTTTGTACATGTTAAAAACTAAACTATTTATTGAGTAGCTAGAAGTGGCTCTTTTTTTTTCAAATACTCACCAAGTGCCTCTCATTTTTTTTTTTTTTTTTTTTTTTTTTTTGTTTGTTTTTTTTTTTTTTTTTGGTTACTTTTATGGTAGTTATGTCCCATTCTCAAATACTACTCAATAGTCAATTTTCACTTTTACCATTATCTCTAAAAAAAAAAAAATCCCTTTATATTATAAGCTCACCTAAATGTGATTGATATTTTTCACCTTCAAATGGTGATGATGTTGCTGTGCCCTATTGTCTTTTAGGATTGGGGATTTGCAAGTTATTTTTTGGCCTTTGTTTGAAGATACGTCACCTAAAATCTTTATGTCTTTTCCTTATCATTTCCAGCATTACTTAACTTAAAATATTAAATTCATCATTGGATCTTGTCAATACATTTTCAGGATTTTTATTAATACATTATGGAAGACCCATTTGATAGGACTCAAAACTTAAAAACTTCATCTAATTGTATTAAACCCTAACTCCTAACAAAGAATATTTTTTACTCTATTTTAAAATGCATTGAAAATAAACCTTACAAAATATACAAAAATGTAAAAGCTGCAGTCAAATCTCTTTAAACTGAGCATGCTTAACACTTTTCATCTATGCTATAACTGATTTAAATTTTGATATCCAAACATAGTCATTGGAGGAATAATTTTAACACCCCAAAACAATACTTCATTTCCACTATATTTTTCACCACTAAGTTTTTTTAAAAAGTGTGTTATCTCAATAGGTTTTTTGGTCTCTAATATATCCACTATGAATGTGTAGTACCATGACTATTTTTCCATTTTAAAAAAGCCATTACATTGCAAATAAACTGATGAAAAAAGATTGCAAGCTTTTTAAATACCAGAATGTCATTAGTTACAATGTACTGACAGTTCATTGAGCTACATAAAGTTGAGAAGCATTTTTTTTTTCTTATAGGAGTCCAACATTTGCCTCTTGCAGTGTATAAATAAAATATGTGTTATAATAATATTATGATATTTTCAATTAGTGTATTCATTCTTGTCTCCTGGACAGCAAAAAAAAAACCTCTATATCATCCCCATTACCAATTTTTAATTTTTTTTATTTTTATCTGTGCTGTGCTCAAGCGGCATATCAGCAATTGCGTAGCTGGGGGTTGCGGACCGCACCGGGTGACACAATGAGTTTACCGCACGGGGGGACACCAACTCTAGCAACGCCACTGCATTATTTTATAAGATTGCTGTGTGGATAAATACTGTTAAAGGGCTGTGTGCGTCATGTAGAATGATATATTCCAACCCTGAAATCATGGCTCACCCTGAACTGGTGGTCATTAAGACACCAGAGTTTCACTTGAAGACATTCTAAGATTTTGTTTGCCTGACAATAAGTTTATGTTAAGAATGCCATCAAGTATGTTGTATTATCGTAGTTTTTGTGTGATCGTGTTTTATGCCATTGGTTACACAAGGTGTCATACTGCTGATTGAATTGATATATATATATAGCTGGGATTTGGGCTTGTGTCAATTATTACTAACAAAATCCCATGGCTCAAGCTCTGATCAATGGATATCAAGAACATGATGTAAATTCTTTATTTTAAAGTTATTAAAGTTCTCATACATATCCTTTTACTTTTATTTAGCCTATTATGAATTCAACTTTAAGAACAATTTTTTTTTTTCTTTTTTTTTTTTTTTTTTTTTTTTTTTTTTTTTTTTTTTTTTTTTTTTTTTATTTTTTTTTTATTTTTTTTTTTTTTTTTTTTTTTTTTTTTTTTTTTTTTTTTTTTTTTTTTTTTTTCCTTTCATTCTGCAAATTACCAACAAGTACACATGCTACTTGCAGCTTGCATATAATAATCACCGTGCCAAAACTTATTACTTATAGTTTCAAAAGCATTTCTTTTTTTAAATGTTTTTATAATAAAGGATTATGTTGTATACTATTGCGATATTATTATTATATTTAAAAAAAAATTAATCAGATGCTTCGATTTCACCACAACTTTGAAATCTTTATTAATTGCCTTGTTAAAAATGTACACAACTAGACAAGATGTACATTTACATTTATTGGCAGCTCATGTCTGTTTAAATAAATTTGAAGAAAAGATACATTATAAACTGTGATTTCTCTCACAATATTTCTATAGTTGTTAAATTTTAAAGCATAGAAGAGTTTTAACTGATTCAAAATATCATTAGCATGATTTGAACATTTAACCAATAAAATTGTAGTCTTCAGCAGTTTAATTGAAAGTATCATTCTTTGTAAGTCCAGCCAGCTGCAAGAAATTTGTTGTTTTGTTAATTGTGGTCTCCTGACCACCTACCCCTAAAAGATAAATCATAATTTTTAAATGAGCACAGAGGACAGAAAGGAAAACAATGCTAAGATAATGAAAGTCTTTAAACTATTTCAACCCTTTTAATTTATTACAGACCACTCCATGCCACTCTAAAGAAAGTACGACTGTACATTTTATTTTGTATAGATGCCAAGATTTATGATCAATATAGACTTCTGTGAGTGTAGCTGTATAATTTTACACTAATCACTATTGCAGTGTCATGATTTTATTAAGAAAGCTAAGCCTACTGAAAGAACTCTTCCAATTGTGTTGGAAAAAAAAGAGTTGTTCCTCTTCTTACTGAATGTTTAAACATTCAGTTTTCTCCTGCAGTGTTTCCCAAAGTGTGGTCTGTGGACCAGTAACTCCAGTAACCTATGCAGATGGTCCTATACAACCTGAACATTTAGTGTCAAATGAAAAGGGAAAAAAATGCTAATGAATCTGGCACCAGCCTCTAATGCAATTTTGAAACTTCTCCACCATCCTGACAAAAAAGTGAAGGGAAACACTGTTCTACTGCTCTGTTTGATTTTTGCCTCAGATTCATGTTTGATTTTGAATTTATTATTTATTAACAATCAGAAGATTGATTTATTTAGAATCTGGGTCAGAATATGTTTTTTTTCCCGTCTCAGAATAGATCTCCAATAACAAGTAGAGTTATTGATAAGTAATAGGGAATACTAATGAGATTATGGGAAATAAAATTAATTATTATTTCCAAATTATGATAATCAAAAATTGACAAAATATGGTAACAAAATAGGAAAGCTATTATAAATTATTGTACCAAAATTGACAAAAAATAACATACAACTCGGGATATTTCATAAATGACGTCCTCAAAGATGGGGAAGTTGGAGGTGGGGGGTGTTTTTCCATTGCATACAATGTCTGACAAGATGAGAGGGGTTTTAAAGGATTTTGTCCACATCCACAAACTAGCATTTTTTAATACGTTGATTTAGGCCCACTGTGTGTATTCCAGTATATTTAATGCTTAAAAAAATTGTGGACATCCTCAATGGCTGATTTATTTTGGAAATAATTATTATCATAATTCACCAAAAAGTTATAAAACATCCATGAGGGAGAACACTCTTAAATTTGCGGCTGCTATTTATCAACAAATGGAAGCAATGGAAATTTAGGCTATTTAAAACTTTTTCTCTTACTCTCAGATCTGGTTGACAAAACAAATAAGTTATATTATCAGACTTAATAGTTAGAAGAAGGAAGAAAAAAAAAGGGTTGGGTTGGTTGAGAGGGGGGGGGGGTGGTTTAAGCCACATGAGTAACAACTCCTGACCATGTCTGTTGTCTGTGAACCACAAAAAAATTGTACAAAATTTATTTTTTCATTTTGATACTAGTCAGTGGTGTACTGTGGGAGGGGGAATCCAGGGGCAGTTGCCCCAAGGTTTATTAGTTGAACATGCCCTAATCCACTAAGTTTTATGGCACGAAATAGGCCTACTACAAGGACTAACAGAACTTGGTATGTTATGAATTTACATGATTACTTTTTAAGAGCTTTTTTTTTTTTTTTTAAACATCATTATAACATTAACATATCAATCTTTCTAATTTGATATAAAAATTATGTACACATAATTATTTTTACATTAAATTTTGTTTTTTTTGTTTTTGTTTTTTAAGGCCTACTACAAGGACTAACAGAACTTGGTATGTTATGAATTTACATGATTACTTTTTAAGAGCTTTTTTTTTTTTTTTAAACATCATTATAACATTAACATATCAATCTATCTAATTTGATATAAAAATTATGTACACATAATTATTTTTACATTAAATTTTGTTTTTTTTGGTTTTGTTTTTTACAAATGTCAGCTCCTGAACAATTCTACATGAAACTTTAAGTCCACCATTGTGACTTTGAAATTAGGATATTTTGATCATCTTGTTTGGTTTACTCTTCATTTATTACACAACATCATGCACTTATTGATATAGTTCTAGGACTTACATTATTCAATGTGATCAGTAAAAGGCAAAAGAAGGTTTGTACTATCAAATGAATGAGATGCTTCTTTCCTTAGTTTTTTTTTTTAAATTACAAAATTTGGTTTGTTTCTTGGATCACAAAGAGAAAATCTTTTGTCAATTGTAAAAAACAAATTTAATTTGAAACTGAGGCAAGCTAATTTATTTAGGTCATTTTTGCACACTGTTTTTTTTGTTTTTTTGAGGTCATTTTTTTTTGCACCATTTTTTTTGTTTAGTCTTTCAGTTCTACAGAATGTGCTTTTTAATGTCTTTTTATTTTCACAAAGTTACAATTCCTTGGGTTTAAGATCTGTTCATACAAGTTTTTTTTTTTGCTTAAAGTTAATTCCATGCCTTATGACTATGCTTTAATAACACATATTTGTGTGTGTGTGCTTTTTTTTATTTTTTTATTATTTAAAAAAAAAAAAATTTTTAATGTCTTTTTATTTTCAAAAAGTTACAATTCCTTGGGTTTAAGATCTGTTCATACAAGTTTTTTTTTTTGCTTAAAGTTAATTCCATGCTTTATGACTATGCTTTAATAACACATATTTGTGTGTGTGTGCTTTTTTTTATTTTTTTATTATTTAAAAAAAAAAAAAATTGAAACAGATTCTGTGTTAAAGAACAAAAAATAAAAATGTAAAGCAATAAAACTTGATTGATTCTCTTATAAAATGAGTAAAACA